GATAAATAAGGCAGTACTCTAATAGTTGGCCCATTTGTTTCATTCCTAAGACAAACCTTGATCGATTAACCTTAGCTAAAAATCCTGTGGGCTAAACTGTTCTGGTTCATGACTCACTTAGTTGCCTTTTATGACAAGCACACCCATTTTGTTTTGGGGGTTAAATGCTACCATCTGGCCTTTCTCTTCAGGGTCCTTTTGTTGCCACTGAAATCAGTGAGCCCAAATGGCTTCATCTCATATGACTGGGCCTATTCTGCAGTGAACAGCAGACTCAGAGCTCTTCAAAGAGGCAGGTGCTTTCCTCAGTGACTTACTCCCTACCTGCCCTAGTGAAGGGGGTTTCTGGGCCTCCCGGGAGAGAGTGGAGTTGGTTTTAGAGATGGGGAGCGTGATCTCAAGATATATATAAAAAATAAATTATTAAACATAAAATGAAAGTCAGGTGGTTAAGGATAGAGATGAATCCAATAGAAATAACTTCTGAGAAAGAGAATTGTGTAAATTATGAAAGAAGCAGCAGTGCCAACGAATATAAAAGTCATAATACTACACTTCAGTGTGTATGACAGTCTCCACAACAGAGAAGCTTAGAACTCTGAAAAAAATGAGTCACCAGATAACTCCTTCTTCCTGCTATTGTCTAATCATTGTTTACTGAGCGCTAGCTGTGCCCGTGGCATTTTTATGCTGCACTTAAACTTTACAAGTACTTTTTAGGAGAGTTGTGTCTTTTTTTTTTTCACCTATGAAAGGCTTACAAAAGTTGAAAAATAAACTCAACTAAAATCATAGGAGTTAATAACAAATATTTGAACATAAATCTGCTTAATTCCATATACTAAAGTGTGATTGTGGAATGTAAGATACAGTTATTTTAATATGTAATTAACCCTTCATACCAATGGAATCTGCATCTGTGAATTCAACCAGTATATTTAGAAAAAGAAAGCAGGAGCACAAAATGCATAGCTCAGCAGTAGAGTACTTGACTAGTATGTATGAGACTCTAGGTTCCATCCTTACCATGGCAAATAGTGTGTGTGTGTGTAGACCTACTTTTAGCATAGCTCCCACCTTGATTTTGTTCCTAGGAAAAATTGTGTCTATACTGAACATGTTCTTATGCTTTTTCATCTCTTCTCTAAACAATGCACTTCCACAACTGTTTATATTGTATTAATATTATAAGTCAGGGCTTAAATTTTTTCCGTTCATGACACCTTTTTACCCCAATTCTTACTTGAGTTAGAGTATCTAAAATTGGATTATAGATCACATATTTACTGGTAAAAATAATAATTATACTTTGTTTCATTTCACCATTTATTAAGGATAAATACAAATTTGCATACTAGTGAGATGGATGTGCTTATTTATTTTTATATAACTAATTGAATCTTTGCTGATTTGATATTGTAGGAAACAATAGGAAAATTTTTTAGAGCTGATCAATAGTTTATGATTGTCTTTAATGGCAATTTATAATGACTTTATAATTGTCAATAATGAGAATGCTTGTTTCTCATTAAATGTGTAATAAAAATGGAAGCAGTTTTTATAAGGCTTATTTCAGAAATTGTTAGAATTTTTTTTAATCTCAAACCAAAATTATTTGATGATATTTTAAAATTATGAAATCTGCCAACTTGGTCTACAGAACAAGCTCTAGGAAGCCAGAACTGCACACAGAGACCCTGTTTAATAAACAAATATTTTTCTCTCTTTCTCTCAAAAAAAAAAAGGAAAACAAACAAACAAACAAACAAAAAAGCCAGTAAGACAAAAATAACAAAACAAAAGGCCTAGGAGAAAATCTGTCCTGAGTTGGCCAACTGCTTCTTTCTGTGCATGGGGCTTGACTTGGAGTGTGGCTAATGTATCTACCTAGTGACACTGCCTGGGAGAAAACTCATTTTCCCTTTCCCAGCAAGCATCAATTGAAATAGCTTCTTGGTTAGGGGTGGGCTTTGTATAAGTTTCTCCTTCAATTTGTAGAGTATCATAGTTTTTTTTTTTATAATCAAAGATAAGAATTTTTGAAACTGTCTCCAGACATTTCAGATAATCAGTTATAACTCTTATATTTAAATCTTTGAGAAAGTTATTTTTGGTTAAACATTTTAAGATATTTACTGTAAATGCTTCTAAAGAATGAATTTTAACGCTAATCTTCCATTTGTTAACTATTTAGTTAAAATTCCAATGAAGGGTTTAAAAATGACTTGAGGCACCGCTTTTAATGAAGTTACTGATTTTTCTGATATCATAAAACATATCATCTCATTGGCGCTCTGATGGGGGCTGTGAGTGCCTGTAGGCCCATATTTCTATATGGTGTGGTAGCCAGGCGCTAAAGCTATAGGCCCGATCTGAGATGGTCACGTAGCCCTGCAGACAGGCTGTCTCTGCCTAACAAAGGGTCATGATGTTGTTGCTCCTTTCTTTGTAATTTAGAGGATGCCTTATAGAGATGCTGATTCAAGCCTATGTGACAGCTAGCATACACAGCAGACAGGTAGATGCGGATCTGACAAAACGCCATTCACCTGGTGACCTAGAGGACAGGTCTAGTGTATTTTCCCGCTCAGTTTATGTGTTGGTATAAAAGTTGTTTGGATAATAAACATGGGGAGATCTTGAGGAGAGAAGAAGCCTGAGATGCTCTTCCATGATGACCGTGTAAGCTGTGTCTGCTTATTCCTTGTGGCTCCGTACCAGTCCGGTTATCTATGTTGGGGCCCACGGGCTCTAACAAGTGTCTTCCTGTGAAACACCGAGTAAAAGTGATATGTTTTCCACCAGTTTTTTTTATCTTTTTTGCTACAAATTCAACTTCTCTCACACAGTGTTGCTCCAGCACCATCTATAGACACTAGTACCATATTTTCACTGGAGAAAGCTCCATTTGTGAGGAGTTTAGCTCTCTGGTGACACTCCCCTTCCTGATGGGTGGTGAAAGAATAGTCTCTCACACATACTTCCTTCATAAACCTACTTACATAAAGAAATAGATGTTTCATCTAGCTGAATTGCAAACTTTGGGCTGTTTATATGTTTATAATAAACTGCTTTCATTAGTCATTACAAATTATAGAAGTTTGTTTAGAAACAGCTTGATTTGATAAAGGAATGTAATTAATTTCATACCTATCTTTTTTTTCCCCTGTGAACTACTCTGCCACCCCTACCCCACAAGAGGGTTTTTCTGTGTAACCTGGCTGTCCTGGAACTCCTGTAGATCAGACTGACCTCAGACTCATAGAGATCCACCTGCCTCTGCCTCCGGAATGCTGGGATTAAAGGTGTGAGCCACCACTGTCGAACTAAAACTATTCATTTTTAATAACAGCAGGTAACACAAGATCTCCTTTCATGTAATACTTTTTAGGTTTCGGAATTAAATAAGAAATTTCAAACAAGGAAACACTTTTTTAATTTACAACAAATCTTTCAAAACATTATTTTTGTTTATTTGAAGATTTGTTAAAAGTATTCAAATAATGCTGCTATAAACGTAGTTTAGCACTTCCTTGTGGTATGACTGAGCATCCTTTGGGATCGTGGAACCAGTCCTTAGTGTACTGAGGTACAACTATATATGTATAACAGAAACACATGTATTCACTAACAGTCTAGTTTTTAACACATATCTTATTAGTTTTAGTCTGTTTGGAGTACCTGCTTTAGAGAAATGTTGAGGTACAATGGGAAATATGGCAATCAGAGCTTTGATTCTACTTCTGTTTGTGTATGAAGTTGTAAACACAGGAACATTTCTTTAAACATTTTGTAAAATTACATTTATTTAGTGTTTGCTTGTATGCTTCATTGTGTTTGTGGAGGCCAGATTACAATTTGGGGGACTTAGTTCTTTCTTCCCACAATGTGGGTCTTAGGGATTGGACTCAGGCTGTCAGACTTTTGCAGCAAGTCCCTCTGGCCCTTTTGCTGGGTCTTCAGAAATATATCTTATATAGAGCTCTTTTAAAATAAGATACATAAAAGAAAACTTATTTTAATTTATTTATTTATATACTGGGGTTAAATCCTAGGGCTTCATGCATGCAGGGAAGCACTTTAATAACTGGACTATATCCCTAGCCCCAATGTTTACTATTTTATAATAATGTAATTTTAAGTATAGTCACGATATTGTAAAATCATCACTATCTAATTCCAGAACATTCTTGTCATTCCTCAAAGGGATACTGCTTCTTATTCCTGCTAGCAGTCACTCTACCTTCTCTTTCCCTGGCTATTGCCAGCTGCTAATTCCCTATTTTGGACAGTTCATCTAAGTGGAGTTATATCATACTTGGGGGGTGGGGTTGTCTGCCACCTTTAAGGTGTATCCACGTTGTAGTGTAAATTGATACTTACTCTTCTGTATGGCTGATACTCCATTTTGTATGTGTTTGTATATCCACACACTACCTTTTGTTTATCCACTCATTACTTGATAGATATTTGGCTGGTATAAGAACTTGTTTATATTGTATGCAAGGTTTTCTGTGGAAGCCTTATGTTCAGTTCTCTTACATATATACCTAGCATGGGTGTTGCTGATCATATGGTAAATTCTGTGTTTGTTTTCCAAATTCATAATATTTGTACTGTTTTATGTTTTCACTCTTAGTGACTGCACATTTCTTTAATCTATGAAAATAGATGCAGTAACAGTTTTGCAGGGAGTAAAGTATGAGGTAGAATGTACAGATGTTGTGCCAAAATGTTTTCTCCCATCTGGTTCTACATATCATGTGTAATATTTTTCCTAGAAATTCTAGGGAAGAAAAATAGTATAATCAAAAAAATTAGAATTCAGTAAAAACAAAAACAATTCAAAATTGAGAGCACTTGTCACTTCTTTTTTATATAAGATTAGAAGATGAGTATACTTTATTTTATTTTTAGATTTTTAAAAAGCTTTTATATGTTTGGGTGTTTTGTTCACATGTATATCTTTAACCTGATTGGACAATGCCCTTTCCTTACAGAGAAGCTGGCAGAGGCTCAGCGCAGGTTTGCTACACTTCAGAATGAGCTTCAGTCTTCACTGGATGCACAGAAAGAAAGCATTGGTGTCACTACATTGCGACAACGCAGAAAGCCAGTCTTCCACCTGTCCCATGAGGAGCGTGTCCAACATAGGAATATTAAAGACCTTAAGTTGGCCTTCAGCGAGTTCTACCTCAGCCTCATTCTGCTGCAGAACTATCAGGTGCTTAGATTACCCTAGGGAGTGGCATTTTAAAGTAAACTCCAGTAAGTGGAATTACCTTGATCTACACAGAGTCCCCCAAAGGTGACATCGTCTTTATTCTTGGGGTTCTTGTTCGAGTAGATGTCTTTGTTGCCCAAAAACCATGCATTAGAAGGATTAAAACTATTAGCAAAGCTAATAGTTTTTAAGATACACACACACACACACACACACACACACACACACACACTTTTGTAGGGCGGAGGAGATAGCAGTGCGAGCACCAGAGTTCAAGTTCCCAGAGCCCACGTTAAAGCCAGGCAGGCATGGCAGCCACCTGTAATTTACACATACAGGAAGGAGACAGGAATTCCCAGAGAATATGGCTAGCCAGACTAGCAGAAGCGGAGAGCTCTTGACTCAGCAAGACAGCCTGCCTCAGTAATATAAAGAGGGGATAGCAAGTGAGAAAAATACCACCAATTTCAAGTCTCCACACACATATACACTTAGTTAAAAAAACAATTCATATGCTATTTATGGGTACCTTTGGCTCAGAGAATAGCAGTTTGCCTACTATTTGAAGGAAGCTCTTATAGTGGTGAATAAAAATAAATGTCTATCAAAATGTTGGCTGTGTAGTCTTTATATTCCTAATGCATTGCTAAAGTTCAGAAAAGCATTGGATCTTTCTGAGGCAGACATTAAGAAAAGAAAAGCAACTGCACAGCTAACATTTTTGCAAGTTTGCGATAATAAAACAAAAGAGCTGAACATTTTAGCTTGCTACCAAAAGAATCCCAGTTTTGTAAGCAGAGACTGTTCTTTTTGTTTCCCGCCCGCCCTGACCCAAATAATCACACAAAAACTATATTAATTACAACATTATTTGGCCTATTAGCTCAGGCTTCTTACTGACTAACTCTTATATTTTAAATTAGCCTATTTCTATTAATCTGTGTATCACCACAAGGCTATGGCTTACTGGGTAAGGTTCTGTTCTGGCATCTTTCTCCTTCTGCAGCTACATGGCATCTCTTAGACTCCACCTACTCTCTTTATATCTCCTCCAGCCAGGCTATATTCTGCCCTGCTATAGGCTGAAGCAGCTTTTTATTAACCAATGGTAATAAAATATATTCATAGCATACAAAGGGGAATCCCACATCACAATTTTATTATTCACAGAATACAGTATAACCATATCAAAAATAAAGAACTTAGATCATGCTAGATATGTGTAAAGGTTACATATATAGGCTGTTATAGCACTCAATAGTTTTTACACCCAGTATGAAAAATGCGAACATCCATTAGCCCTATATTAGGGTATTCATTTATTTGTAATTTGTTATAAGTTTGTTTATATAATTGTTATGAAAGATAATAAACAGGTTATGTTCAATAATAAACATTTACATCTCTGGTCTGATGTACTACTTTGCATTTTATTCTCTAATATAACTTAAAATGAATGATTAGCACCTTGCAGGATGATAGAACATCTAAAAAGTAAAAGTTATGCAAGAAAAGTTTTACCTGTAGTGACTGGTGATACAGCTCAGTTTGTAGAGTGCTTGCCAGCAGGCATGAAAACCTGGGTTGTATCTGCATAAAACTGGGTGTGGAGGCACATGCCTCTAATTCTGGCTGCTAGGCAGATGGAGACAAAGGAATCTAAAGTTCAAGATCATCCTCACGTACACGAAGTTGAAAGCAGCTTGTGTAAACTTTAAGACTCTGTCTCAAAATAATAAATAAAAAGGTTTTTCCTGAAGTGTTGCAATTTTAAAATGCAAAGTACTAGAAATCCCTTCAATTATTACTAAGTATGCTTTTCCCATCGCTTTCATTTTTTTTGATAATTTAGTAGTTTGTCATTCAAAGAAGAACCCAGTTGAGAAATAATTCAGCAGAAAAGTAATAACATAAGAGAAATAAATGATAAGTCCTTTGTTTCTTTTATATACCCCAGGCTGATTTGACATCCTCCTACCTTAGCCTCCTAAGTGCCAGGATCATTATCTACATACCTAGGACCCTTTTTTGACATTTTCCCCAAAGCTTTATAATTTGATTCTTTTTTTTTGGAAATTCATATTAGTAACTAAATATTTAAAAGAAACAAAATGCTTTCCCTCAGATTTTAAAGTATTAACCTTGTGGGTTGGAGAAAGAATTCAGTTGTTAAGAGCACTTGCTGCTCTTTTAGGGAACCTGAGTTTATTTCCCAGTAGCCCTGTCACTATGATCACAACTGTCGGTTGTTGTTGTCCTCTTCTGGCCTCCATGGGCACCTGTCTGTGTGTGATATTTACACAGACATATATATAAAAAATAAAAATAAATCTTAAAAATGTAATAGAAAATATCCATATTTCCAGCTTATTTTGTGTTGTTAAAAAAAAAAAAGAACAAAAATGCTGCTTTGGATGCCCTGGAACTGGAGTTACAGACAGTTGTAAACTAGGAATCCAACCTAGGTCCCAGGTCTTCTGCAAGAACAAGGCTCTTAACTGCTCAGCCATCTCTCCAGCCTCAATAGTGTTTCTAAAAGTTCTGTTGTGGAGCTGCAAGGATTACCGGACTTCAGATTCCTAGCATCCAAGTAAAAGGGCCAGTTTTGACTGCTCTGGCCTATAATCCCAGGACTGGGGAGAAAGGCAAGAGGATATCTAGGGTCAGTCTGGCCAAATTTGGTGAGCTCCAGGTGAAAGACCCTGTCTGAAGAAAGTAAGAAAGGGTGGAGAGCTATAGAATATGATGCTCAAGGTCACCTCTGCATCCACACACATGCATGAACACACACACACACACACACACACACACACACTCACACCTGTTTCTAAGTTGAGCTGTCTACTGTACCCAAGAAGATTCATAATCATCCATTATGGTATGAGGAATAGATTCCAACAAGTGAGCAAGAAACCTTATCAGCAAATACAGACAGCCTCTGGTTGGTAGATCTCATCTAGACTTGCAAATCTGTGTTTTCCTGCCTTTCAGATGATAGGCAAACAAATAAAGGTGAGAGTGTAGGAAAATACAGTATTTTAATTTTATAGAAATTGAAGGAATGCCAAGCTCCTACCCATTGTCACCTGCCCTGTGCAATGGTTCTTTTCTGCTGACATCTGCTTACTTCCATCCCTAAATGGAGGAGGATGAAAGGAAAAACAGTCAAGAGAACTAGAGAAGTGTCCGTTGTACATGCCTGGAGGAGTGAAAACACACTCTTCACCACCCTTCAAAGAGCAGAGAGTTAAAGCAGATGGGTTCAGTGCATGATAAATGCAAAAAAACATTTTCTGAAAATACTCTTTTGGCCAAAGCAGGAAAACAACCTATTTTAAAATGGTTATATGTGGAAAGTTGGGAATGAAAATGTTCTGAGCTTAGAATTTTCATTAATTTACTTGGAAGAAAAATAACTGAGTTGTGTTTCCAGTAGGATTCTACCTTGGAACCAGTAAGTTACAGGAGAGCCTTATCCTGGTAGCAGTGAATGCTTCTAGGACGTGCTGCTGTTCCCCAGGGTTCTCAGTATTGACTCAGTCAACTCTGTTGATGTCTGCTGCTTCATTATTTTAATGTTCTCTAATGATCTTAGAATGATAATTGCATTTATCTTTTCTTCCTATAGAATCTGAATTTTACAGGGTTTCGAAAAATCCTTAAAAAGCACGACAAGATTCTGGAAACATCTCGTGGGGCAGATTGGCGAGTGGCTCATGTAGAGGTGGCCCCATTTTATACATGCAAGAAAATCAACCAGCTCATTTCTGAGACTGAGGTACAACACCTCTGCTTGCTTGCCGTATATGTTCAGTATCATTTGTATGTATTTTAAAGAAATAATTCACTATTTTTGTTCTTTTATAAATTGCTGGTTTAGAATACCTGTGTTCTTATTGAGGTCTCTTTCTTTTTGCTTTATCAGTATATTTATCAAGAGGCTATCAGAACATTATACACATGTGTATTTATATGTATTGCTTTTATTTAGAATAATTTATATCAAAACTTGACAATTCATCTTTCTAGGCTGTAGTAACCAATGAACTTGAAGATGGTGACAGACAAAAGGCTATGAAGCGATTGCGTGTCCCTCCTTTGGGAGCGGCTCAGGTTAGTATCAACTTCTAGTGGCTTGTTTCGTTTTCTTTTCTTTCTTTTTTTTTTTTGTTTTTTTTTGTTGTTGTTGTTGTTTGTTTGTTTTTCAAGACAGAGTTTCTCTGTGTAGCTTTGGTGCCTGTCCTGGAACTAGCTCTTGTAGACCAAGCTAGCCTCGAACTCACGGAGATCTGCCTGCCTCTGCCTCTCAAGTGCTGGGATTAAAGGTGTATGCCACCACTGCCTGGCTTTCTTTTTATTTTCATACTTAATAATTAACACAGCATTGTTGTTGACTGTTGTCATTACCTTAAATTTTTAAGCCAGATTTTTTTAAGTAATTGATATTATTGTTTCTCTCATTACAAAAAAAAAAATAGATTCAGGCATGGCGGCATATGTTTTAATCCAGTACTTAGGAGGGGAAGGCAGAATAACCATTAGTTCAAGGCCAGCCGGGGTTACATAAGACCCATGTCAGAGAACAGAAAGAAGGAAGGAAAAATTAGATGCAAGCTAAAAATTAGATGCAAATCATAATGATTTGAAGTATCTTACACCTATCTCTTAATGCTCCCCCTCAACTCCCTCTCCTATTTGCTCTTATACACACTTGCTTCTTGACAGTTGCCTCATCAATTAAGACGAAGTTTTTTGTTGTTCATGATATGAGAAGTTTAGATGTACTGGGCTACCATATAGCTTTTTCCAAAATAGCAGTTATACCCCTTGCAAAAGAGAGGAGGGGCTTATTAAATGCTATATAAATATCTTTTGTCACATAAAGCATGTCTCAATAAATTAAAAAATTATCATGGAGTATTTTCTGTGATCACAATGTATTGAAATTAATAATAAAGAACTTCTATAACTTAATAACTGGAATGTTTGAAAAGAATTAGACTTGATGTCATACTTAACAGTAAAACACTGACACTTTCTTCACAAGACCAGGAACAAATTGTATATTCAGTCTTAGGACTGTCATTAAACCTTTTCCTGGGGATTATAGCCAGTGTGATAACATCAGAAAAAGACATAGAAGGTATTCAGTTAGAAAGAAAGATAAAAATACTAGATGTTTTGTTGTTTGCTTTCTTGTTTATTATTAGTAAATTGATGATCTCTGTAGAAAATCCAGTGATTTGTATAGTACTAAGCTAATCAGGGAGTCAGCAAGCTTGCAGAATGCAGCACCAGTTTACAAAGAATCAAGTGTATGCCTGCACATCAAGTACACTTAAAAGTCAAAACTTTACCAATAATGCCACAGAAATAAGAAATTCAGTAGTAATAGTCCTGGAAAAGAGCTGAAGATTTTTACATTGGAAATTACAGAATATTGCTGAAATAAACTACAGATCATTTAAGTGAGAGCCAATTGAATTATGGATGGGTTTATTATGTAAGTAAGCTCAGTGCTTTTAGAAACTATTTTTTTAATTTCAGTATAGCATAATCCATCTAAAATAATCTCAGTCAGGATATGTATGGTATGAGGTGTGCACGCGCGCGCACGTGTGTGTGTGTGTGTGTGTGTGTGTGTGTGTGTGTGTGTGTAAATTGGTATGCTAGCTTTAAAATGCATGGAAATGCAAAAAACTTAAACTAGTACATCTTTGAAACAAATTAAAGGTTAAAATATTACTAATACATGGTATAAAAAAGCTGCAGTAGAGTCAAGATAGGCAGACACTTCAAAGGAGCAGAATAGAATCTAAAAATATGCAAAGATATATATGCAACTAATTTTCAATATAGGCATAAAGCATGCTAGTAGAGGAAGAATAATGTTTTCAACAATTCAACAGTTGGATTCTCTATACAAAAAGAAAGCACAAGCCTTTATTTATATTTTATACCAGGTATTTCTAGACATAACATGGACCTAAGTTAAACCTAAAACAAAATTTTAGAAGGAAATATAGGAGACAGTCTTAGCACCTTTCGATGACTCAAAGACTTTTTAGAAATGACATCAAAAGCACTTCATCAAAGTTAAACACAAATCTTCAAAAGACCTTGTTAAGGAGAATGAAGAATATTAAACTGGTAGAAAATATTTATAAAACATGTCTAGTAAAACGCATATTTTACCAAGAACATATAGAGAACTCCAGTAGTTAGCAAGGAGAAAATGACCTGAGTGTCATCAAAGCTGTCTAAGTGGAGAATGGGAGCATGGCAAGGTGTTCCACTCCAGTGTCCTGTCGAGACATGCAAATTAAAACCAGAGAAATACTAACAGTAACCATAACCAAAATTCAGAGATTGACCATGCCTGTGATTGGAGGACCAGAATCCCATCTCATATGCTGCTAGTGGAGTAAATTATATAACCCTTTAACATATAGTTGGGGAATTTCCTAAACAGTTAAATGTATATCTGCCACATGACTGGCTATTATATTCCTAGATACTTATCTAAAATATCTGTCCACAAAGCAGTCTTCTAAATAAGTGTTCATAGCAGCTTTATTTGTCGTAGCCTAAAGTTGGAAACAGCCTGCTTCTGTCAGTAGGTAAGTGGATAAACAATTGTACTATATATCTTCTTAGCCTGGAAAATACTTTGTTGATACATGCCATACATAGGTAGAGAGAGAGAGAGAGAGAGAGAGAGAGAGAGAGAGAGAGAGAGAGAAAGAAAAGGTTCTTTACTTTTTTTTAAAGTATATACTATCTGACTCTATTTACTTACTATTTTGGAAAATGCAAACCAGTAAACAATGACAAAAAGCATAGCATTTGTTGCCAATCAAGCTGGAAGTGGGGCAGGGAGGCTTGGGCAGGAAGGAAAGACAACAAAGGGGCATAAGGAAACTTTTAAGAGTAGTGACTGTGTTAGGGTTTTTTTTTTGTTGTTGTTGTTGTTTTTTTTTTTTTTTGAGACAAGGTTTTCTATAGCCCAGACTGACCTCAAACTCACTCTGTAGCTAAGATGACCTTAAACACCTGGTGCCTCTGCCTGAAATGCTGGGAATATAGACATGTACCACAATGCCTTGCTCCATATATTGTCTTGATCATCTTCATTATGGTTGTGATTTCATAAATATCTCTATATATTAGATCTTATAATATCTTATCAAGTAAAATAATTTAGTGTGTTTAATTCATTGTATGCCAGTGTATTCAATAAAACAATATTTAAAAAAATAGATACATCACAGTCAAACTGATTAAAAGATAAAGAAAAAAACCATAAAAACATCATAACAAACAGAAATTGTGTACATTAAGTATATGTAGTTTATTATACTATTTATAGCAGAACAATAATTTAAAATGGAAAAAATTAATTTAAAAAAACTAAAGCATTTAAAAGTGTGCTTGGAGGAGACAGTCCTGCAGAAAACACAGAAGCGGTTATCTGGCGAGGAAGGAAGGTATGTGATGAGAGAGAGAAGGGCTTCAGGGTAGGATGGTATCTAAAGTCTAGGATAGATACCATATATGTTCACTTTACCAGCTATTTCCAACATTCTAAATATATGGTGTACATTCTTTTATGACTAGAGTGCAATTTCTGTAGCTTTTAAGAGAAGATAAATTACCATTTCCTAGATGCTTTCATTCAGAAACTGACAATACAGATACCTCCTGTGACAAGTAAAGGGGGTTTTGATGCTTGTGGGGGGATTAAAGGTGTGACCTCTCACCCTTCACTACTTTAGAAAGCTGTGAGTCTGTCTATCTGTCCTTCATCCTTTTATATTTAAAATCTAAGGAATTTTTTATTTGCTTTAGAAAAAGTAATTTAAGGTCAGTTGTAGATATAAAATAAATTTTTTTCCCTTCCTGAGTGAGGTAACCCAGACCCAGAAAGATGAACATGGTATGTACTCACTTATACTAGCTGTAAAGCAAAGGATAACGAGCCTATGGTTCATGATCCTAGAGAAGCTAAGTAACAAGGTGAACCCTAAGAAAACATACATAGACCCACCTGGAAAGGGGAAGCACCTGATAAAAATTGGGAGCATGAGTGTGGGGGAAGAAGTGAGGGTGGAAGGGGAAGGGGGAAAACTTGAGGGAATGGGATATTCGAGATGGAGGAAGGACAGAGATGAGAGCAAGGAAAGATCTTTTGATTGAGGGAGCCATTATGGGGCTAGCAAAAAACGTGGCACTAGAGAAATTCCCTAGGAATCCACAAGGATGACCCCAGCTAAGACCCTAAGCAACAGAGGAGAGGGTTCCCAAACTGACCTTGTCCTGTAGTCAGACTGATGAATATCTTAAGTATCACAATAAAACCTTCATCCAGCAATTAATGGAAACAGGGACAGAGACCCGTAGCAGAGCTCTGGGCTGAGCTCCCAAAATCCAGTTGAAGAGTGGGAGGAGTGAGAATATTAGCCGAGAGGTCAAGACCATAATGGGGACACAGCTTACCTGAGCTAATGGGAGCTCACCAAATCCAGCCAGACAGGGAAGGAACCAGCATAGGTCCAAACTAGTCCCTCTGAATGTGAATAAAATCAAATTATAATAAAGATATAATTATAAGTCCATTGCACTGGAGGTTTTAATATGCCTAATCTCTTAATAACTAGTATAGCTTAAAATGTTGCATTTAAGGGGCTAGAGAGATGGCCCAGAGGTTAGGGTGCTTATTGTTCTTGCTGAGGACCCAAGTTTGGCTTCCAGGAAACTATATAGGAAACTCAAAACTCCAGTTTCAGGTGGATCTGATGTCATATGGCCTCTGTGGGTACCTCCACATACATGGTGCACATAAACTCACACAGACATGCATATATATAAATAAAATAAGTAAATGTTTAAAATTTCTCACTTAAGTTTTTGTCAGTATAAGAGCATAACATATTATCAGAAAGTAAGTATTCTTGTTTTTGCCATTGACTTTCATCATTCATGGTACCAAAAAGTAAACTCTGAGTAATTCTAACTTAAGAAATGTAGAGATAAATTTTATAAAAACTAAATTGCATTCTAAATCACTCAAGACGTACTTCTGTGTGTTCATCTGAAGTCTAAAATTACCATCTTATTTTGACTCCTATTTCTGTCTCTTTCTCTTTTCTCTCTTTCTTCCCTTTTCCCTTCTACCTCCCCGTGTGTGTGCGTGCGCGTGCGTGCGTGCTTGTGCATGTGTGTATGTTCCTTAGTCATTTTTCTTTTTTTTTTTATTGAGAAAAGGAGAAAAAAAAAAAACAAGTTTCCACCTCCTCCCAGCCTCCCATTTCCCTCCCCCTCCTCCCACCTTTCTCCCCCTCCTCCCACCCTTCTCCCCCTTCCCCCACTCCTCTCCTCCTCCCTCTCCAGTCCAAAGAGCAGTCAGGGTTCCCTGCCCTGTGGTAAGTCCTAGGTCCTCCCCCCTCCGTTCATATCTAGGAAGGTGAACATCCAAACTGGCTAGGCTCCCACAAAGCCAGCACATTAAGTAGGATCAAATCCCCTTGCCATTGTCCTTGGCGTCTCATCAGCCCTCATTGTTCACCATGTTCAGAGAGTCCCATGCTTTTTCGGTCACAGTCCAGCTGGCCTTGGTGAGCTCCCAGTAGATCAGCTCCACTGTCTCAGTGGGTGGGTGCACCCCTCGTGGTCCCGACATCTTTGCTCATGTTCTCCCTCCTTCTGCTCCTCATTGGGACCTTGGAAGCTCAGTCCAGTGCTCCAGTGTGGGTCTCTGTCTCTATCTCCATCCATCACCAGATGAAGGTTCTATGGTGATATGCAGGATATTCGTCATTATTGCTCTAGGATAGGGTCATTTCAGGTTCCCTATCCTCAGCTGCCCAAGGAACTAACTGGGGACCTCGGCTTGGGCATCTGGGAGCCACTCTAGGTTCAAGTCTCTTGCCAACCCTAAGGTGGCTCCCTTAACTAAGAATTGTGCTTCCCTGCTCCCCTATCCAACCTTCCTTTATCCCAATCCTCCTTTTTCCCCAAGTTCCCCCCATTCTCCCCTTTTCCCTTTTCTCTCCCCATCTCCCCTTACCCCCATCCCACCCCACCCCCAAGATCTCAATTTTCTCCCGGGCAATTTTGTCTACTTCCCATAGCCAAGAGGACAACTATATGCTTTTCCTTTGGTTCACCTTCTTACTTAGCTTCTTTGGGATCACCAATTGTAGACTCCGTGACCCTTGTTTATGGCTAGAAACCAATTATGAGTGAGTACATCCCATATTCATCTTTTTGGGTCTGGGTTACCTCACTCAGGATAGTGTTTTCTATTTCCATCCATTTGCATGCAAAATTTGAGAAGTCATTGTTTTTTACCGCAGCATAGTACTCTAATGTGTAGATATTCCACACTTTCTTCATCCATTCTTCCATTGAAGGGCATCTAGGTTGTTTCCAGGTTCTGGCTATTACAAATAATACTGCTATGAACATAGTTGAACAAATGCTCTTGTCATATGATAGGGCATCTCTTGGGTATATTCCCAGGAGTGGTATTGCTGGGTCCAGGGGTAAGTAGATTCCGAATTTCCTGAGAAACCGAAACACCGATTTCCAAAGTGGTTGCACAAGATTGCATTCCCACCAGCAATGGATGAGGGTTCCCCTTCCTCCACAGCCTCTCCAGCAAAGGCTATCATTGGAGTTTTTTATTTTAGCCATTCTGACAGGTGTAAGATGATATCTTAAAGTTGTCTTGATTTGCATTTCCCTGGTTGCTAAGGAGGTTGAGCATGACCTTAAGTGTCTTTTGGCCATTTGAACTTCCTCTGCTGAGAATTCTCTGTTCAGTTCAGTGCCCCATTTTTTAATTGGGTTAACTAGCATTTTAAAGTCTAGTTTCCTGAGTTCTCTATATATTTTGGAGATCAGACCTTTGTCTGTTGCGGGGTTGGTGAAGATCTTCTCCCAGTCAGTAGGTTGCCTTTGTGTCTTGGTGACAGTGTCCTTTGCTTTACAGAAGCTTCTCAGTTTTAGTAGGTCCCATTTATTCAATGTTGCCCTTAAAGTCTGTGCTGTTGGGGTTACACATAGGAAGCGATCTCCTGTGCCCATCTCCTGTAGGGTACTTCCCACTTTCTCTTCTATCAGGTTCAATGTGTTCTGACTGATAGTGAGGTCTTTAATCCATTTGGACTTGAGTTTTGTGCATGGTGATAGATATGGATCTATTTTCATTCTTCTATAGGTTGACATCCAGTTATGCCAGCACCATTTGTTAAAGATGCTTTCTTTCTTCCATTGTATACTTTTGGCTCTTTTATCAAAAATGAGGTGTTCATAGGTTTGTGGGTTAAAATTCGGGTCTTTATACGATTCCATTGGTCGACTTCTCTGTTTTTATGCCAGTACCACACTGTTTTCATCACTGTAGCTCTGTAATAGAGTTTGAAGTCAGGGATGGTAATGGCTCCAGACAATCCTTTATTGTATAGGATTGTTTTGGCTATCCTGGGTTTTTTGTTTTTCCATATAAAGTTGATTATTGTCCTCTCAAGATCTGTGAAGAATTTTGATGAGACCCTCAGCAAGCCGACAGCTAACATTAAATTAAATGGAGAGAAACTTAAAGCCATCCCACTAAACTCAGGAACACGACAAGGCTGTCCACTCTCGCCATACCTCTTCAATATAGTACTTGAAGTTCTAGCAATAGCAATAAGAAAACATAAGGGGATCAAGGGGATTCGAATTGGAAAGGAAGAAGTTAAACTTTCGTTATTTGCAGATGATATGATAGTGTACATAAGCGACCCCCAAAACTCCACCAAAGAACTTTTACAGCTGATAAACACCTTTAGTAATGTGGCAGGATACAAGATCAACTCCAAAAAATCAGTTGCCCTCTTATACACAAAGGATATGGAAGCAGAGAGGGAAATCAGAGAAGCTTCACCTTTCACGATCGTCACAAACAGCATAAAATATCTTGGGGTAACTCTAACCAAGGAAGTGAAAGATCTATTTGACAAGATCTTTAAGGCATTGAAGAAAGAAACTGAGGAGTATACCAGAAAATGGAAGGACCTCCCTTGCTCTTGGATTGGGAGGATCAACATAGTAAAAATGGCAGTTCTACCAAAGGCAATTTATAGATTCAATGTAATCCCCATCAGGGTCCCATCAAAATTCTTAGTCATTTTTCAACTTGTTTTTGGAGACAGTCTCTGACTGAACCAGGAGCTCACCGGTTTATCTCAACTCATTGCCTGCAAGCTGCAGGAATCTGTCTTTGCCCACCTGGCATGGAGATTACAAACATGTTCTGTCCCCAGCTTTTTATGTGGGATCTGCCTGGCTTTTTATGTGGTTGCTGGGGTCTGACCTCATACCAACACAACAAGTACTTTACTGTATGAGTATCTCCCCAGCCCTACAATGCAGATTTCTGTAAAATAACTCAATAGTGTCCCTATTCTACTTATAGAATGATGGGGTGTAAATGATCCTCTGCTTCGAAGTTATAAAAGTTAAAATAATAAAATATACTTTCACTGTAGAACTTTTGGGGTCATACTACTAAGTTACTATACTGTAGCATGTATTACATGTGTGTTTGATATCTTTTACTCAAAATTCTGTTTTATGTTCACAGCCTGCGCCAGCATGGACTACTTTTAGAGTTGGCCTATTTTGTGGAATATTCCTTGTGTTAAATATTACCCTCGTGCTTGCAGGTAATTCTTAACTTTTTAACCATTTGGTCTTATTATGTTTATGTCATATTCTGCCCTTTTATAAAGAATCAAGCATATATCTACCTATTCTACTGAAAGAAGTGCAAGGTTTTAGAAAGTTGTTTGTAGCCTTTGGGGTATAATTTTTTAAAACATTGACCTCTTATTTACTATCATTTTCTAGTCTTCATGATTTTTAGAGTTCAATTGTCGAGAACTTAAGCTTAGGCCAGTGATACGGTTTAGTGGGTAAAGATGCTTGCTGCCAAATCTGACTACATGAGTTTGATCCCAGGTTTCACATGTTGGAAGAAGAAAGTCGACTCCCACAAACTGTCCCTGACCTCCTCATGTATGACATGGTACACACACACACACACACACACACACACACAAACACACACTAAGTAAAAAGTGTAATTAATTTAAGAACTTGTTTCCTTGGTCATAGATGAAGATAAATATGTTACAAAGTTCATCCAATAAACCTTATTTACTTCTTATAGAGACCCCACCACCTCATGTTTTTCCAAAGCTGCTTATAACTGCTCTGCATGCTTGGTTTTATAGTTTTCAATTCAGTGAAATTTCAAAGTAGGGAATAGAATGTATGGTTAGCATGGGTGAAGTCCTGTGTTCAGTCCCCAGCACTACATAAAACTAAGTATAGTAACACATACTGATAATCCCAGCATTTGGGAAGGAGAAGCACAAAGATCAGGAATTCAAGGATTTCCTCAGCTACATAATGTGTAGATAGGCTTCCTAAGCTCACCCAAGAATTTATAGAGCCCTTCAGTAGCATTTCACATTATCACTGCTTGAAAAGCTTCAAATGCCACACCTGTTATTTTCCCCATTATTTCTTTAGTATTTCTTTCCCAAACCATGCTATTCTTTGTGGCATTGAAATGTTAGGTAGTCCCAATATATTCAATTCTCACATATCTGCTATCTATGTTCATTTCCTATCTAGGCAAATTATTCAAGCCTATGGCTACAAATACTATCTATATGCTAATGGCTCACAAGTATATATCCTCTCTTCTCTGAAAAAAAAAATCTAATGCCGTTTGGAGATCTAATACTCATTTCCCATTTAAGTAGACAAAAGGACCCTTGATTTTTTTAAGTCCCCCAAATAGAACCCAGACCTTTTAGTTCCTATTTACTCTGTCTTGGCTGAAATTATCAACTTAAAAAGAAGAAAGATTTATTTTGGCTTATGTAAAGATATTAGTTCTTGATCACTTGGCCCTGTCAGTTCAGGCCTGTGGCAAGGCAGAAGATTATGGTGGAGACTGTGTTGGAGTGCAAAATTTCTCACTGAATGGAAGCCAGAAAGTGTACACTGGAGAGGGAGGATGTTCTAGTACAGGCTTCAAGGGTCCTTCCCAGTGACTTTCTTCCTCCAACGGGGCCTGACCTCTTCAAGTTTCTCCCTCCCAGTAACAGCAGGAGCTGGGAACCCACACACATGACACATTACCAAGATATGTGAGCTTTGGCCAACACTTAAGGCCCAAACAACATCCCTCATGTTTAATCACTAATTCATATAAGAAATCCTATTGCTCTGTCTTCATACTATGTTTGAATTTGATCACTTTCACTACACCCATTAGTACTGTCGTTGTCTCAAGAGCCATTTCCTGTTATGTACAATAGTCTTCTGGACTTGTCTCTTTGTTTGCATCCAGTGTTTCCCTCTTCTGACCACAAGTTTGTTGAGGGTGGTTTCTCCTTTCCTCAGCCCCTCTTTCCTCAGCCCATGTCCCCATGTAAAATCTATTTATGAATTCTCTTACATTCAGATTCCTTACTATAGTACACAAGACCTTCAAGGATATTGCAGTTATCATTTCTTACTTCCTATCCTTTCTTTCTTCCTGTACTCATTTTCATTTACTATTCTTTAAACACATCTGTTGTCTAAGGGATTCTTTTCCATCAAGGGTGTCTGTTTGCATTTCCTTTCCCTTCAGTTAAACATCTATTCAAATCCTGTCTCTTCAGTGATACCTTCCGTGGTCACCCTACACTAAAACGGTTTATTCTATATCTTTCTGTTTCTTTAGCCTACATTAATTTTCTTCAGAATGTTTGTCTGACAGGTATCATATATTTATGTCTCTGCTTTCCCACTAACATGTAAACAATGTTTGGACTTGATAACAAACTTCTCAATGCCTGGGCTTTCATCTCTAGTACTGAAACACTATGTGGAGCATAAGAAGAATTCCAAAAAATTTTGAGAAAATTTGAATGGATGGAAGAGATAAAGAGTTGAAATTAAATGATGTGCAGAATTCACTATTCCTTGCTTGCATTCTCTTCAGCACTGCCTATTGCATTATAAAGTTATAACCCAAATTGTAAAGGCTTTTACATGAACTTTGCCTATTGACAGTATGTTTTCATTGTATTATTAGAGTTCTTTGGCTAGAGAGGTGATTCCGCCATTAAAGGCTAGGCTCACAACACCAAGAGTTCTCCTTTCCACCAGTTGCTAAGTATTATGCACTCATAGCTTACAATGTGACATTGATGAGATTTATGATCAATTTGTTACCTGTTTGTTTATTATATAGGGTAATTATAGTCTACTTATATAAAATATATGGAAATTCTGCAGTACAAACCCCAACCTAGAATATCAAACTAGCTGCCATGAAGAGAACGGAAGTCCTGCCTGAGTTTCAGTTTCAGTCCCCCATTCATTGTTAGCTGTTATGGTTGTGTGGACAACCCTTAGCTTTTTCTAAAACAGTTTTCTCATCTATTAAATAAACTCAATACCTTACAGGATTACTTGAGAATTTATTTGTTCATCCACAAGTAGCTTTGACATCTGGGGTTTGTGTGTGTTGCATGAATGTGGATTCAAGCACAGTCACATACCACTACACATGTGGGAAGTCAAAAGACAACATCCACTATCATTCCATCTTGTTTTGAGGAAGAATTTCTTTACCTCTGGTATGCCAGACTGGCTGGCCCACAAGATTCTCCTGTCATCTTGTTGCTGGAGCATTGGGATTATAGATTAATGTTATAAAATCATGCTTTTTATGTGGGTTGCTAGGATCCAAAGTCAGACCCTCACACTGGCCACAACCCCAGCCCATCCATCCACAAGTCACTTTTATGTATATCCCAACTATTCCTGATCCCCACAAGTCTTAAGATATAAAAAGTTTTGGGGGGCAGAGGGATTGAGTTGTGTAGCTCAGTAGCAGCAAGCTTGCCTATCATAAATGAACTCCTGGGTTAGAGCCCCAGTACTGCAAAACCAGATGAAATCAATCTCTTAGACAGGCGTGTAGCATACTTGTAGTCAACATTTAGCAGTGGGACTGGGAGAACCAGGTTGTCAGTGTTCAAGGCCATCCCGAGCTACCTGTAACCCTGCCTCAAAAGTCTGAAAGGTGATAAACTTCTAAACAGTACAATGAGACAACTGAGTATTTTCTTAATTAGACTATTGGGGAAGACACTGTGAAAGAAGTGACATTTAAGTTAGTGGGATTAAAAGCATTACCAGAGAAGGAAAGAGAGTAACTTAGTTGGTCAGGTGGAGGAGGAGGGAGGGAGTTACTAGAGGGGCCAGTTAGTAGAACAGGGTGAAGCCCAGCTTTGAGAGCATTGCACATATGGTGAAGCACATCAATCCCAAGTATAGACTTCACACATGGCTCTCTCTTTAGGGAAATATTGTTACTCATTTATGAGTGGATTTACTTGTCTAATTTCCAAGGTGTATGTGGTGATTTTATCCTCCCTAGCTTAAGACAAGTGAAGAAGCAAATGTCTTTCTTTTCATGTGAATTAAATGGAAAGGGTTTTTGTTTGTATGTTTTATTTCTTAATTTATATCAAGCTGAGGTTTTAATAAATAAAGACTGTATTACTGTGATAGTTTGACCTTTGAAATGCATGCAGTTTATACATTTAGCATTGTGTATTATGTTCTAACCTCAGAACCCTTCTTTGTTTGATCTTCCTGTGTACTGATGAGGGGGAGGGTAACTAGAGATAAAGCCAGCTGTCTATCCTTATTTATCTCCCCCCGGGTACTCAGATGATAACAGTGTTGAGAGTCAGAGGGGATTGCAGCAGTAGTAATGCATGTACAAGCACGATTCTTTTCTTAGAGCATTCACATAAAAATTATGTGCATAATTGCTGTGCTTTTTCATGGGGACTTGGCCCAGTGTTCAATAATTTGCCAGAAAAAAAATCACACATATAGAGTTTTAGTTTCATAAAAATGAAATTTTTGCTGTATAGGTTTTTAAAATTTTCTTCTAGAAACCTTGGCTGTATTTGAAATAATCACAGTATGCCATATTTCACTTATTAGTTTACCATTTACAGTAATATAATGCTGTAAACTAAGCACTTGGAATTAATAAGACTATTGATGGTTGAAATCTCTTTTGAAAAATAATGTGGTAGTATATGTAAAAATTTGATAATGATTTTAACTAACTTTAGTTTTTTTATAAATTTAGCTTACAACCTAGGCTCCTACAAGGTAAAGAAATTATTTATTGTCATGTTGCTTATAACAGCAACATCTTAGAAACTGCTCTTATAGCTACTGATTATGAACTGTACAAATGAGTTGTGTTGCCATATACAATGGCATATCATGGTTGATTGAGCTGGAAATGAAAGGGAGGCATAGCACTTTGGAGAACGACTTGGCACTATTTACCAAAACTGACTGTATATTAGCCTAGTAATAGAAATGAGTGCATATATCTACCAGGAAACATTCAAGAACATTAGTAACTGTTCGGTGTTAATGTCCCCAAACTGGAGCAGCCCAAATGTTCACCAACAGTATAGCAGATGTCTTTACCCAATGGGATAGTATGTAGCTGTGAGAAGATTGAAATGTAGCCCATGCAAAAACATAAGTGAATCTCACAAGCAAATGGAAGTGAGGTTTATATAACATAAAATTAACCATTGTAAAGTAAACAAAAGAAGCCAGACACCAAAAGTACACGTTATATTATTTAATTTTGAGGAAGATAAAAAAATTAGTGTTAGAAAAGAGTGCTTATCATGGCTGGAAAGAAGATGTAAAGCCAGGCCTTTGGGCATGGTTTTGTATTCTGGGTCCTGATTCACTGTTGTTGAAATTTATCATACTGTGTACTTAAGATTTGTTTTATCTTCTATAGTGTGTAACACCTACATTAGAAAATAAGTTAGATTTTTGTGTGTATTTATGAGAAAAATAACCACTCTAGAATGTAAATAAAAAAATAAGCTTTAGGATCGCCATGTATGGCATGCTGCTAATTGTAGTTGGTTAGTTGCTTTGTTTTGAACGTTATTTGGTATTTTTCAGTATGTGAAGAATTTCTTGGAAGGTAATAGAAAAACTGTTAACATGGTAGCCTCTAGGGAAGGAGGTAGGGATTTGAATGTAGGAAGCTTCTTACATCCTTTATATTTAGAGCCTTTTCTCTTATACATATTCCTTATTCCTAAATATTTTTAGCAAAGGGAAAACTGGTTTGGTCATTCAAAACCCCAGCGTGGAATGGGGAAAGGTCATGAAAAACCCCACCTGTGGCTGAGGATCCATTGGCAGTTGATGGCTCCTGGTGGACTGCGTGTATTTTCTTCAGGGATGTATTCCCAGAGAGGCTACCCACGCTCCAGTAGTGTCTTTCACCCATGTCCATAACGGCAGCGTTAAGTAGTCTTAGTGTTTTGATCACAATTTACATGTGTAAAATTCTTAATAAAAAGAATAACAAATCACAACAAAAGGGAAACCTATTTGGCAACTTGATTCAGTACCATGAGGACTATAATTTTGTAAGGTTTCGAATAGGCTTCTGTTTGGGTTATTGATTTTGTTTTGTTTAACAGATGCATGGTAGTTTCTATATAACTTAGCTACATTGTTAAGTGCATTAGGCTCTAGAGCCATATTACTGGGATTAAATCCCTGTGTCCTTAAACAGGGAGGCTTAATTTAACTGTTTCTTCAATGTGAAGAAAACTGATATGTGGGGTTTTTTGCTGTGAAAAATTAATGAAATTATGCATATTAAGCACTAAAACATTGATTGTCTTCTATTTTTCTGAAAATAAAGTGACCATTGGAATTTTGACAGGGATTTAATTAAATGTATCGATTGACTTGTCATATTAACAATATCAAATCTTCCAATTTATAAGCATGGCATTTTTTTTCTATATACTTAAGTCTACTTTAATTTCTATATATTTTGTCACTTTCAACATATGAGCCTCTCATCTCCTTGTTTAAAATTACTACTAAATGTTTTATTCTTTTGGGTACTGTTATAATTAAAAATTGGTTTTATAATTTTATTTTCAGATTGTTTATTGCTGATGCATATAAACACAACTGAATTTTGTGTGTTGATGTTGCATTCATGACCTTGTATTCTACAGCTTTGCCCAAACTGCTAACTCTTACAGTTGTGGCTTCTTTGGAATCTATGCTTTGTTTTCTGTCATTGTAATGTCTGGGGTCTTTGCTTAGGATTCAGGATGCAAAGCTACAAATGTGCTTTTCTACTCCTCTAATTTTCCAGCTAATCTTGACTCTGTGGTTCATTGTCACATAGAAACTAGGACAGTCTTTTAAAGTGATTACTTGGGTCTTAACCCATTCAAAACCTTCTATTAGTTCATACATCAGAAATAAAACTTAAATCTAAACAAAGTACTACAAAACCTTGTCTTGTCGCTGGGAACTTTATCTCTAGTTCCTTCCCATAATAGTGACGTTGGCCTTCTATCACTAAGCTTCTTGTACTTTCTCTCTACCTGGAGTCCTCTAGAGATTCCAGGGGTTCCAGTCTTTATTCTTTAAGGCAAGTATATCTCCTGAGAGTCTTTATCTCTGATTTTACTCTTATCTCCCTTACCATATACTGTTAGATAGAAGTTAAATGGAAATTGATATCTTGTTTATTATTCACTTGAATCCCCAGTTCTTAGGATGATGTTGGGTGTAAAAAACATCTAATAAGTACTTGTTGTATAAATGTTTTATTTAGCAACTAATAGAAACTAATGTAACTAATGTACTGAATACTGATAGAGTCAAACATTAGGCATTTGATGTGTTATTCACATTTAACTGTCACAAGCATGTGAAAGTATGTTGTTTGTTTTTGTTTTTTGGTTTGTTTTTTAAATAGGTCTCATGTAGTCCAGGCTGCAAAGTTCTATGTACTTCTGATCCCTCTTCCTCCACCTCCCAAGGCCTGGGATAACAGGCATGTATAATTCCAGTTTTATGCAGTACTGGAGATCAAGTCCAGTCTGAGAACAGACAATATTTTCATTGGCCAAGAGGAAACTGAAGACTAGAAACTCTTAAGTTAAATAATTTATTCTACTAGGATTTGATATGCAGTTTATATAATATTTGATTCCAAAACAAACACTTTTTCTCCCATTATTTTTAAGTTATTAAATGTTTTTATACTGCAGAGACTACAAAGATAAATAATAAATCATTATTTAAATTAAGTAAGTATATAAATTTGTAGAGATGTAATAAAAGAACACTATAGATTATGGGAAAAATAACTTTTTTAAAAGATGAAATTCATTGGGGTTGGCCATTGGGGAGTACTGTAGGATGAGTTTGGAAAAAGTAAGTTGGAAACTAGATTTTTTTTTTAAGAGCTTAAGTTTGCAGACCTAAGGTGTTTGAACAATATAATTCTAGGAAAGCTGTAAAATAATGAGGGTACTGAATGTTTGTATGGGCGTATGAGCAATATAGTACTTGAGAACATGGGCTTTGCACAAAATTATGTAGGTTGCGACCAGGTATGGTAGTGATGCTATTAATCCCCACAGAGGCAGGTAGAGTCGAGGCTAGGTCAGCCAAATGCTACATTTAACTCTGTCCTATACTAGCTCAGTAAACCTGAGCAAATTACTTAACCTGTCTGTGCTCCAGTTTCCTCAGACAACATGGACATAGTAATTTTTAACTTAGAGAACAATTATAATGAATTAAACTAATTGTTACATTAATAGCACCAAGAATAAGGCTAAACACTATATTAAGCACTCAATATGTGTCAACTATTGTCTATTTATATGACATTTAAATTCTCACATTGTCTTCTTGTGCTTTGTATCTTTTCATTCTTTAATAACTCTGTGAGGTAGAAGTTACTATATTCAGTTTAATGTTAGAGAAAGCAATGTTGAAGAGGGGAGGTATCATAGGAAAAAACCCAGAAGACAAAACTAGTCTTAGACCTGGCTGGCTTGATGTTGTATGCTTTTAATGCCAGGACAGAGGATGTAGAAGCAAGAGTTCAAAACCAGCCTGGTCTACATAGCATACTCCTGTATAGATAGCCAAGACTACATGTCTCAAAACAAACAAACAAACAAACAAACAAAGAAAACAAACTGGTCTTACCATTTCAAAGCCATTTAGCCCTGTAGTACTAAAGCTTAAAATCAAAACAAGATAAAACACTTATAGGACAATGGGATAACATATTAAAAACCAAGTTTGGAGAAAATTATTCTAGTGGCATTCTGCAGAGTCTCTGAAACAGAAGAGGAAAGAATCTAAAGGCAAGTTTATTGGATTCTTAAAATAATCTAGATACAGATTTTCTTTATGAAAACTTCCTGCTAGGGTTGTGTCTGAAAGAACGAAGAAAAAAGATAATAAAGGGAACATTGTAGATTTTACAACTAACTAATACATTTTTTTTCCAGCCGTATTTAAACTTGAAACAGATAGAACTGTATGGCCCTTGATAAGAATCTATCGGGGTGGCTTTCTTCTGATTGAATTCCTCTTTCTACTGGGCATCAACACGTACGGTTGGAGACAGGCTGGAGTAAATCATGTCCTCATCTTTGAACTTAATCCAAGAAACAATTTGTCTCATCAGCATCTCTTTGAGGTAATAAAGCAGAGTCTCATGAATATAGTTTGCAGTGACTGAATGTAGTTTGCAGTCTTGATGAGTACTCAAGTCCATCTTCCACTTGAAGATTGATGGATTCTTTATTGTTTTTCTTACCTTTGTTTATTAAAGGTTTTTCTGTATAATGATAAGAAGTAACTTTCTTTCTTTTTGTGTTCCCTGTGCTTTATAGATTGCTGGATTCCTGGGGATATTATGGTGCCTGAGCCTTCTGGCATGCTTTTTCGCTCCAATTAGTATCATCCCTATATATGTGTACCCACTTGCCCTTTATGGATTTATGGTCTTCTTTCTTATCAACCCCACCAAAACTTTCTACTATAAATCCAGATTTTGGCTGCTTAAACTTCTGGTAAGTCTAGAAAGCTTGTGCAACATTTTTAGAGTAGTGTTGTTAGTCATTGGCTCCCTCAAAGGTCACTCATGGCTGCTGAATTGTACAGCCCATATGTGTGCTTCACATTGTACCACATGAGTGGTGCCCAGCTTTAGGAGCAAAAATATTTTTGACAGATACTGGATAACCTTGAAAGTTTACAGCTACAGCATGCAGCTCTGGAAAAGTGCTTTGTGTTTTTTTCCTCCAAGTGACCAGATAGTGAATTGATTTTGCAAATTATGATTATTTATTATTTTGTTATACAGGTTATTTAATCTGTGTGTTAGTATGTAGAACTTAGAACTTTTGGCTTCTTTCTAAAGAAAAGAAAGCCAGGCATAATGGCTTTGTGTAATCCCTGTACTTAGGAGATAAAGGCAGAAGTATTAGAAGTCCACAGTCATTCTCAACTACATAACATAACCTTGAACCTGTCCTGTTAAAGGTGTGATACTGTTGTTCCTAATTGTCCAGTTGATGTGACTAGTTAGCCAAGCCCTTTATTTTAGGAGCAATTGGTTCTCCATCAAGCTGAATTTGAAGCCAACTTGTATTTTTTGTTTTAGTAACTTCTTTCTTTATATGATTTTGCATTCACTTTTTTGAGGTAGAGTCTACTTTTATAGCCCAGGCTGACTTCAGTGTCATGGTTTTCCTGCCTTAGCCCCAAGTCAGGGTTATAGCAAGTGTGCCACAGTGCTTGGCCTTTGCCCAATTCTTAATGATCTCAAAATCTTTTAACAGTGGAATAGAGAATGTCCTGGAAAATTATAGCTGTGTCATTTTGTGATAGTGTAAAGGTAGTTCTGAGAGGATCTGATACACTCTTAAATGAAGCTGGCTTTATTTTTTTTAAGTCAATTAAGAATGTTTTCATGTATATATTTCTTAGGTGATGGATTACAGCTGATAATAGAAGGAAGAATAGTGGTTAAAATGAATCACCATAATTCTTTCCTCTCCTTGTTCACCATACCTCCCTGAAAAATATAATTTTTATTTCTTTTGTTTTTTGTTTTTCCCTAGGGGATTAGCAATACTTGTTTAAAATTTTAAAACTGAAACATACTACGCTTGGTGGCTCATTCATGTAAACCCTGCATTCTGGAGGCTGAGGCAGGAAGATTGCCATGACTTCAAGGCCAGCTTGGTCTACATAGTGAATTTTAGAGTTAGACCCTGTCTGAACTTACACGCACGCACACACGGATGCACACTGCCTAAAACCTAAAAACCTAAAACACAGCTTTCTTCCCCTATTTGTTTTGTTTTAAATGAAAGTGAATGCTTATAGCAACGAAGAAAATAATATGGCCAAATTTTCTTGGCTTTTCCAAAGTTGAATATTATTACGAGAATTTTACCTTCTACCAAGATTTTTATTACAAATTAAAATTCTTCCTTTTTTCCCTCTTAGGAGTGGGGAAGACAACAAAAACTCAGGGCTCAGGATGTACCTCAGTTGATAAAGTGTTTGCTAGCTTAGGCTAACCTGAAATTTAATTTGTAGACCAGGCTGGTCTTGAATTTGCAACCTTCCTGCCTCTGGAACATGAATTCTGGGATTACAGGCATGTACCAGAACCTAACATCAGCATGCTTTTAGAGAAGGTGGTTTGGGAGGGAGAAGAAGAAATAGAGCTGCCATTTATCTCTTGAATATATTAAAAATGTTTTCTTAGATTAACTATATATGTAAAATCCCTGTAAAGTATTGGTTTTTTTTAAAGATTTGTTTATTTTTTTATCTCATGTATGTGGGTGCCTTCATATGTGTATGTGTGGTTTGTGCTCATAGAAACTAGAAAGTGGCATTGGATCCTTGGAACATATAGATGGTTATGAGCTGCCATATGGGTGCTGGAAACTGAACCCAAGTCCTCCCAAAGAGCAGCAAGTACTGTTAGCCACTGAGTCACCTCTTCAGTTTATCTATAAAATTATTTCTAAATGAGGTTTTTTTGGAAGATTCAGGAAGCTTATTATAATAATCTCAGTGCAATAACAGGATGATGTAGTTGTGTATGTTGTGTGCTAAGTGCACAATTCCCCAGTGCATCCTTTACTTAAGAAGAAAGCCACAATTTCATGCATGGCTACTTCCTCTGATTAGTAGAATGATCCCTGTTGAGTAGATGTTTATGTATGTGTCTGCAGTGTGTGTTAATAATGCAGATTGGTTGATTGAATAGGCTAGCAATGATGTATAAAAAGGAATCATAGACTAGTAGGGAGCACTCTTAGAAGCAGTGAAATGTAGAAAGAAACACTGATTTGTTGCTTTTGTCATATTGTTACCAAAACAAATAATATTATTGTGTATAGGTCATTTAAATTCAGTTGACATATTTATTTTATTCAAACTTCACTGATCCAATTAGTCCGTATAGTGTATGACAGAAAATTAATAGAATGTTTTCATTGTAGCTATATTTCTTTGAAATTGTTTTTTAAAGATTTATCCAAAGTAAAATGCTTATTTCTCTCTCTTTTTTTTTAACCTCCAATTTTTAGTGTGGAAAACACATATGTCATGTGATCATAATAATAAAGTACTTTTATGTTCATAGTTATATGGGAATATATATTATATTCATAGTTATATGGGAATCTTTAAAATTGGCAGATACTACCGTCCCTTAAAAAAAAAAAAGCTCAAGAACTTTAAGATACTAACTTACCGCAATATTAATATGTCTAGTCTAGTACAGTCTATTTATATCCATTAGTCTCTTTCCTACATCTGTATTTGCCCCAACTAGAATTTCAATTAGAAAGTATAAACAAAGCTCCAGATTTCCAACGGTAACATTACCTCATTCTTCCAGTAAGCTAGCTCAAGATTTAAAATAGAATTGGGCAGTGGCATGCATGCCTTTAATCACAGCACTCAGGAAGCAGAGGCAGGTGGCTCTCTGTGAGTTCAAGGCCAACATGGACTGCAGAGTGAGTTCTAGGACAGCCAGAGCTAGACAGAGAGACCCTGTCTCCAAAAAAAAAAAAAAAAAAAAAAAAGTTTTAAAATAAGAGTCCTTAATTATGTTATTTAGAGATCAGTTTCTAACCAATATTTTCTTTAGTTCTATAGTAAAATCATGTGTACACTCACATGAACCTGGGGGTCGAGGAGATGACTCAGTGGTTAAAAGCACAGGTTGCCCTTCCAGAGGACCCATTTTTTAGTAACAGCATTTACATGACAGCTCACAACTGCCTGTAACTCCAGTTCTAAGGGATCTGATTCTGTCTTCTCCCTCCAAGAGCATCAAGCACACGCATGGTGCACAGACATACATGCAGTCAAAACATCCATATGCATAAAATAATTTTTGAAGTAGAACTGCAACCTCATATAGTATATATTTACCTTCAGCTATCATAGATTCTACATGTAGACTTAGGTCCCATGCCCAAGATAGCTCATAAAGTATTTGCAAATATTCTAGGCCAGTAGCTTACCAATAACCCACCAGTGATATTTTTTGTGCATTTGTCTAAACATTCAGAATTAATTCTCGATTTCATAATGCTATTACTCTGGGAATCTATCATTTTAATCAAAGTCAGAGTAGAGGTAGAGTATTTGGAAGACTTTGGCTAGTAGAGAAAAAGAAGAGTTACATGGTACTCATTTAGGAAGAGGATTCAGATAAATCTGGAATGAGGTTGACTGTGTATAAATGTCAGTTAAGTATGACCTGTCTGTCCTCTTGACTTGCCTGTGACAGAAGTGCTTGTTCCCTTCTGTTTTCTAGGGTGTCCTTTTTAATGTGTCTCTATGATACATTTGCCACGAGGTGCTATATTGTATCTCTGTGCATTTATTTGCCCAACTAGACTGTGGGTCTTCTAAGCTTTTGGGATCACTTTTTATATCTACACGTGTACATACTTGACATACAGTAAAGACTTAAGTCTTTGTTAAAATGACTAACATTTACTCTTCCCTCTTTTTATTTTTACATCAATGCTTTCCTCTTGTAGTTTCGTACCTTCATCCTTTATTTCTTGTTGCATTGTATTTATCTGCTTCTCTTTTTTTTTTTTTTTTTTTTTTTTTTGGTTTTTTGAGACAGGGTTTCTCTGTAGCTTTGGTGCCGGTCCCAGAACTAGCTCTTGTAGACCAGGCTGGCCTCGAACTCACAGAGATCGGCCTGCCTCTGCCTCCCGAGTGCTGGGATTAAAGGCGTGCGCCACCACCGCCCGGCTTTATCTGCTTCTCTTATAGAAACATTCTGGACTATCCAGATTTTGAGGATGAGGCTGGCGATTAAAAGAGTAATGGAGGTTTGTCTTGTGTCAGAAGGAAACAATTTCCCCTAGTCTGCCAATTTTGCAAAAGTCAACTACTAGAGAACTGTGGCAACTCCTTCAGCCAATAGCCTTTAAGATACCGGCCTACTTTGGGTGTGGTCACATGTATGACTTTCTGATCCTTTGGGGTTATATTGGAAATTATCCTCTTGCATTTGTTTCTTTGAATTATTTAAGTCTATTCCACATCCTAGAGTATCTCAAAATAATACAGTAGCTCAAAGCAGTGTCTACATACATGGACTGCTAAGACCTCATTCTGCCTCTTCCCTGTAAGGAAGTGTCCTCTCTCTGGAGCTTATGGTACAATAGCATAACTTGTAACCTGGTTTTTTGGACTCAACAAAATATAAGGGAGCTCTCAAGAGAATAAGTCATGGAACCCAAAGATACCAGCTCCAGACAGCAATATCACAAAGCCTGTATTATTATTTCGTGATCTAGTTCCAGTTACAGTATCTGTTAGGTGACACTCAGGATTGAGTCATACCATTTAGTCCTGTGTCTCTCTGAAGAGAAATGCTAATGGATTGAATTTGTCTACTAAATGAATATATCCAGAGAGCAAGAAATTTATATTCATTTTCAGAATTGCTACTTTGACAGAGTAGTACATCATTATTATCTTACTCTTCTTTATAATAAAATCAAGGGAATCTGACAGGATAAATATAAAAGCTATCTGCGTCCATACTCCTTTGCATGGGGTCATCCAGGCACTCTCCACAACTTTTTATTCCTGGTGATGGCATTAGTGTCTGAGTCTTCTCTTCTCTGTAGTGCTAGTATTTCTCTCTGCAGTTATAACAGGTTGATATAGAGCAAGCCAAGATGAGTTTATGTTTAATGGAATAGCAATAGTACCTAACTTTGGAATCGAGTTGGACATGGTGGAACACACCTATGATCCTAGCACTTATTGTGTAAAGATGGAAAGATTTCAAGTTAGAGGCCAACCTGGGCTACATAGTGAGGCCTGTCTCAACCTACTCCCCTTAAGAGGAGTTATTATAAAGATTGAGCTGTAGCAGTCTATAAACCCTAAGAAAATATAGTTAATATAGTTTTTTAGTTAGTGTTCAATATATTTGCTTAATAGATTGACCATTTTTCAGGACGGTGGTAAGAGAGGTGATTTTGTGGTGAAATTCAGGGTTAACAAGCCATTACTATTACATTAGTGGAATAAATATTACATAGGCTGGGGTTGCAGTTCAGTGATAGAGCGCTTGACTTATGCACAAGACCCTGTGTTTGAAACCCCATGCTGTAACAATGTCATTTAGGTTAGAGAATATGACATGCCTCAGCTGATATAACTACCCTTCCCTACCTGTATTTTACAGGCAAAGAAGAGCTTTGTATTTAGTTAGCAAAGTGCTTCCCTGTCCAGCAAATTTGCTTTGTAACCTAAATATTAGATTTCCTCTCTGTATTTCCAGCACTTTTTTTTTCTTGTCTGGATTTTACTCTGTAGCTCAGGCTGACCTTGAATTTGTGGAAATCCTGCCTTAGCCTTCTAAGTGTTGGGCTTACAGGAATTACCCACTCTGCCTTGTTTATTCTTCCTCCTGATCTCTGCTTTTTTACCTGCAGTTCCTACCAGCAGCCCCACACACTCACACAGGCACACTGTTGTCTTTGCAGTCGTGCTTTCAGTGCAATCCCTGCACTGCTGCTTAACCCAGCCTTTGTTGCATGGGCTTTGTGTGTGTGTCTGTGCCTCATCAGCAGTCACTCTGAATGGTCAGACATCAACTGCAGAAATTTAATGTACGGTTTCCTGTTTCTATTCTCTCTCTCTCCTTTCTTTCTTTTTCTCAGTTTCGAGTATTTACAGCTCCCTTCCATAAGGTAGGCTTTGCTGATTTCTGGCTGGCCGATCAGCTGAACAGCCTGTCAGTGATACTCATGGACCTGGAATATATGATCTGCTTCTACAGTTTTGAGCTCAAATGGGATGAGAGTAAGGGCCTGTTGCCAAATGATCTACAAGGTAGGCTATAATTTTGTATTCACACTGCTGAATTGCCAACATAAACCAAGAAATATTGGGAATGATAACTGCGACAGTTAAGGTCATGGTGAAAACTCATCCAATAACATTACAAATTTAATTAAATATACTTGGCATTCTGTTAGCAATCTCCTGAACTGAAATAATTTGGATTTTAAATTGTGTTATTTTAGCCATCCACTTGCCAAGAAATTTACAACTTATACTGAAGAACTCTGCAGTTATTTCTCAATGTTACTGTGTGTTGGTAACTATCACAAATGCTAGAGTGCCAGCAATTAGTCCTCACAAAAATGTTTGGGATAGCATTGTAGGTACTGTGATCAAAGTACTGATTGCTTAGAATCAGGTCAAATGCCTTGAAAAAAGTTGTGGTAGATTGCTTTACAAATCTTATTTGAAACCTTTATTTTTCTTCTGGCTCTTTACCCACACTTAAGGTAATGCCACGTTTGTATAGTTAGGAAGTTTGCATTCATCACAAAGATCTAATGTAGACAGGTCATACATAGAGCATCTACTCACAAAAGAGAATGAAAAATTGGGTGTGACAGCCTACCATGCACTTGCTATCCCCACACTGAGGAGGCCGAAGCTGTAGGATAGTAAGTCCCTGTTCAGCCTAGGCTGCATAATGATGAAGCCCTGTCTCAGAAGTAAAAGCACAACAAAGCAGCAGTAAAAAATTAATAATGAACCCTATACCTTGTTCTTGATTAAAAGGGAGTCCATAGAACATGTGCTCTGTGTACATATTTTCTAGTACTTGGCATTTATAAAACTGTCTAGGTACCTGTGGTTTTTGTTGGTTTTCCATATGTTTAACATCACAGAACAAAACAGTTTTTTTCTTCTTTTGATTCATAGACTCTTTTTCCTATAGTTTTATTATTGCACTTGAAAAAATATTAATTCTAGGATATTAAGAAGTCTAGAGGACAGATTTTTCCAGTAGTTCCTCTGTAATTTTTACCTTTTCTCATTGGTTTATCCACCACTGAAAAGCTTGAGCAAACAGTAAGTGGTTACATAGGAGAGAATGACTGAACCCATGGGATGACTTGGATTTTATACGCTGATGGGTATTTGGACTGTGCTACTAGATGATGTGAACAATTCATTCTTTTGAATTGTAATTTTTCCTTCTTCTTCTTTGAAATCTTCACAGAACCAGAATTTTGCCACAAATATACATATGGAGTGCGAGCCATTGTTCAGTGTATTCCTGCTTGGCTTCGCTTCATCCAGTGCCTGCGCCGGTACCGTGACACAAAAAGGGCCTTTCCTCATTTAGTAAATGCTGGCAAATACTCCACCACTTTCTTCACCGTGACCTTTGCAGCCCTGTACAGTACTCACAAAGGTATGCTGAGACTTTCAAATCTGAGTTGTTTCTTCCTGAGTCTGTTGCCCTGGACCTTTTGTGCTCTTGGTTTCCACTGAAGCTCCAGACCCTGATTATCGTGGTTTATCCTTGAATACAGTTTTATTCTCATTTCATTGTATATTAACAAACATCATTAACAAGAATCACAGTCGATCAGATAGGAAGAATTATGTTAATGTTCGAAAGCCTGAATTATGCTCAGTGAATTTAACCTATGAATGCCTTGGATTTTCATTTAGTGTTTTTTTAAAGATCTCCTTGTTCATTAATGAGGTTAGGAAATGGGTAGGTGTACAAGATTCCCTCTGGCAATCAAGTATATTTTTAATCGTTTCCCTTCACCAACTAGTAAGGATTGTTTCCAGCCCATTTAACTGCAAATTGAGTTCTCTGATCCCTCTATTTTCTTGTCTCCATGGCAACCTGCTATTACTTGCTACTGCTCTTCTATTGGGAAGAGAAAAAAGCTTTTAAGTTCTGAGCCACATGCAGACACTCCTTTTGAATTTTTAACCTTTTCCCAAGAACTGCCAATCAGTTATTTCACTTCCTTTTACTAAAACGCATTACAGTATCAGCCCACGACTAGCCACTACAATTTCTCATCCGTAGGTGGCCCAGAAATGTGACTAATGGAAACCAGTAGATGCTTTTAAATACTCAGGTAAACTGTTTTCAGAAACCATTTTTGTAAGGCTGTATTTGTGAGTCTTAATTCAGTGGGACAAAACTGCTGTTGCACTAGTATGTACCTGCTGGTCCTAAGAGTTAATAGTGTGAGATTGTTGTCCACACTATGACGTAGGTTCTGTGCTTAGAACAGCACGTGCCATTCTGGTTAAGTGATAGATTTAATTTAGTACCTTGGTGAAGTTTGAAAAGCTCCCATAATTTTAATTTTGCTGAGGAATGCCACTAGTCAGTTATTACTAGATAATTTATAAATCTGACAGTTGATCTGATACAAGATGCTTTATGGCTCCTCTTACTAAATTATCACAAACACTTGCCTCTCATCTTAGGTAAAAAATGAGTACCACTATTTTGGGGTAAATATTTTATACTAACAATACATTCATTAAGAAGCTGACAGTTGCCAGGGCTGCTGGTGCTGTTCACACAAATACACAACACTCACCTCAGGAAATACAGCTCATTCTTGGTTCAGTGGTGATAACCTGGGAGCACAGATGCAGGTTGCCCTGAAAGACGTGTTCCACTGGACGTAGTTACATGAGAGTTTGCAGTTACAGAACAAAGAAAGCTGTAAGTCAGGGCATTTACTGAGTGCTTTGGCGGTGGCTGCAGGTAGGCAGGCTACAGCAAACCAAGGGAACACTATAGGTCTGGGGTGTTGTCAGCTTTTAGATTGGTAGGAGCTGGTGTTCTGCTGAAATTAAATTTTAGGGCTGGTAACTCATTTAGGAAAATGCTCGCTGCACGAAGCTGAAGACATGAGTTTGGTCCCCAGAACCTATGTGAAGGCTGGGCCTGGCAGCAGGCACCTGTAATCCCCACTCTGGGAAGACAGACACGGGAGGATCCCTGTGGCTTGCTCACTGGTCAGTTCAGTCATATCATCAAGCTCTGGGCTAGATCAGACACTGTCTCAGAAAACAAGGAGAGAGAAATTGAGGAAAACACTGATACCAAACTCTCCATACACACAAAGAATACATTTTAGAGATTTTGATAGTCACAGGGATGTTCAGACACAGGAGTAGACAATAAATGGCTTTAAAGGGACTGAAGATAGTCTAAGATAATGTGGCTCAACACTAATAATGTGTCTTCAACACTATCTACAGTCACACACAAAGTTCAGCCATTCAGGGGCTGGAGAGATGGCTCAGAGGTTAAGAGCATTGCCTGCTCTTCCAAAGGTCCTGAGTTCAATTCCCAGCAACCACATGGTGGCTCACAACCATCTGTAATGGGGTCTGGTGCCCTCTTCTGGTCTTCAGGCATACACACAGACAGAATATTGTATATATAATAAATAAATAAATATTAAAAAAAAAAGAAAAGAAAAAAAAAGTTCAGCCTTGTAGAATCCTTTAACACAGTATGACTTTTCTTTTCCCCCCCGGGAACATCAGTTTATACTAAAAACTATATATATAGTTTTTTTTGTTTTTGTTTTCTGTTTTTTCAATACAGGGTTTCTCAGTAACTTTGGAGCCTGTCCTGGAACTTGCTCTGTAGACCAGGCTGGCCTCAAACTCACAGAGATCTGCCTGTCTCTGCCTCCCAAGTGCTGGGATTAAGGTGTGTGCTACTACTGAACTATATATTAATGTGATATAGTTTTACATTGGTGTAAATGTATTTACAGTTGTTGACTTACCTGCTGCATATATATGTAAACTGATACTAAATTATATCCTTTCACTAGAAGGTATTAAGAGAAATTTTCCCACTTTTTTGTAATTATTGAGCTTTGTTGAGCTGTATATGAAGGAATGGTTAAAGTGCTAAGTTTTATGGGGTTTGGAAACTACATGTTTTGAAAGACTTGAAAATAGAGTACTAGTTTGTATAAGCAGGGTACTGGGAAAGCGCAGAACACAAATCTCTGACCCAGCCTGCTAGGCCACAGATGAAAGATGATGTTCAGATGACATGTAGCTAAGGATGGACTTCTGATCCCCCCGCTACCTCTGCCACTCAAGTGTTGGGATTCCAGATGTGTGCCACCATGCCTGTCTCTTCATTTTTATTTTTGTGATACTAGGATGCTCAGGGTCTTGTGTGTGCCATGCCAGGCAAGTACTGTATCACTGAGCTTATCCCAGCCTTACCTTGCAGTTGAAGGGTAGAAGCAATCCTGTTTCCTACTTCGGCTTGCCTTGGCCTCATTTGTCATGGCTGCTTTTGTTTCACAGAAAGCCGTATCTTTACCTGAATCTATTTACTTCACAGATTTATTGTAAGAATTGCGCATGGAATTATAGACTGGCATACTACAAAAATGGGGTGAATGGGAAAAGAACAGCTCCCTTTGCTGACCAGTGCTGATGAATTTCAGGACAGCTAGGGCTATACAGAAAAACCCTGTCTTAGGAAAAGAGAGAGAGAGAGAGAGAGAGAGAGAGAGAGAGAGAGAGAGAGAGAGAGAGAGAGAAGAAGGTCTCACATAGCTCATGCTGGCTTCAAATTCACTGTGTATCAAGGATGACTGAATTTATGGTCCCCTTGCATCAGTCTCCCTCTTGAGTGCTGGGTTTACAGAAATGTACAATACCCAGTTTTATGTTGTGATGGGGCATCAAACTCAGGGCTTCATGCATGCTAGGCAAGCGCTCTATACACTGTGCTGTATCCCCAGCCTTAAGTTCTTTGATTTTCTTGGGCAGTATTCTAAGAAAACACAGACTTTAGAAATAATTACTGAGTCAAAAGAATAAATTCAAAATAACTAATTATATACTCTTCTATGGAGTGCATGTGCTGTTGCAAAAGCTACATTTATGATGAAAGAAGAGTAAAAGATCATGACATAACCTTGTTCAGACTCAGATCTGAGTCTTTTTTTAAAAACTAGCCTGCCAGGGTTACCATAGTAACAGCATTATATTAAGTGCACTTTCAAAATTGTTACAGAGGTTGTTTCTTATGTTATGCTGCATGATTTGTAAAAATGGAGGTGTAAGCATTAACCCTGCACCTAGAATCATTTTTTAGAAGGTGAGAGTTTAAGCAGCCCATTTAGGAAGATTAATATTTCAGTTAGGCCTCTTTTGTTGTATAAAAAAAGAAGCACATTTGAATTAATTCAGGGCATTTTATTTTCTGTCATTGATTTTTAGAGACAAAGGAATTCAGCTAGCAGCCAATGTCTGTGTTTAAAAATTCATATTTCATTACATGACCACATTTGAAACAGCTCCTTACAAGTGTTGTCTTGCAATTGGGATTAGAGGAGGTGAGGAAGTATTTTAAATGGGTTTTGGTTTCCTTGAGGTTACTGGGCTTTGCAAGAAAAGATCTTTGGGAAGTATAATAGCAGAAAGACTGTGATGTTATTAATTCTAACAAGTTGTATTTCATCAGCTCATATTGCATTTGTAGCTCCTAAAATTCTGTACTCTCATAAATTCTTAGTGGAGTTAGACCTGTGCTATTCACGTAAATATATGGAGGGGTGCTTTCACTCCACTTTCCCTGACTTTTGTGGACAGGGTGGGATTCGCTATAAAGTTTTTGAAAGAGCGTCTCTTGAGTTCATTTACATCCATGTTATTGGTGCCTAGGCCTCATCTGAATCCTCCTGTGCATTCTGAAGTGTGTTATGCCTCCCTGTGAGGTTTCCCCAGCAGCAGTTAGTGCCTCCTGTGCAGTGGCCACTTCATTATTTTGAGTGAACACACACAGTCCTGAAATGCTGTTTCTCTGGGGTACAGCTAGTTGCTACTCTCTTGCTACCCTGAATAATAGGCCTCTAGTCCACATTTTAATCGTCTTATATTATAATAGAAAGAGTAATTGTGGTTTTTTTTTTTTTAATTCTTTGGGGAAATTTTTGTTCCATTAGCTTTAAAAGACATACGTTCAATTAAAAAAGAAAACTCATTTGGATAAATGTTCTCATTTTTGCCTTGATATTTAAAGTAGTTCAAAACATTAACCCTTTTGGAACTTAATATATTCTGTTGTAATTTCCTCATAGAAGGAAAAACAGTTTTATAGTCTATCTAGACAAGATTGGCTAAAAGACCTGTTGATATCAGAAAACAAAATAATAAGATACTGATTTCTTCTTGTTAGTAATTTAATGCTCTTTGCCATTTTTGGCTATCATTGTACTAATTTTCAAATGATGTAATTGTTTCTATATATAAATTTATATATTTCTACATGTGATAGATATATATGTATATATATATATCTTTGAATAAATTAAATCTTTTTACCTTCTTTGTCACTTAAAAGACTTTTAAAAAATAACACACGCATTGACACCTTGATATCATTTT